CGGGGAACACGGGGAGGGCGGGAGGCCCCGCACGGGAGTCCGGCGCCTGCGGACGCCATCCCGGCGGGCTAGGAGCGCTGTGCGAGGGGCCAGTGTCGCCGTCCGCGTTCGGGCCCCGTGGTCCGAGATCGGGCCCTCTCTGTGGTCGTTCGGGTCCGTGAGATCCGTATTCGGGGCCCGCCGTCCGAGATCGGGCCCCCTCTGTCCGCGTTCGGGTCCCTGCGGTCCGTATTCGGGCCCCGGCGTCCGCGTTCTGGCCCCCGAGGTCGGTGCTCTGGGGGCAGAGGCGGCGCGGGTCCGGGTGCAGGAGGGTGTTGTAGGCAGGGTCCGTTAGGGCGATGGCTCGGTAGGTGTCGGACGGGTAATGAAATGAGCCCCGCGACGGAAAGTCTGCAGAAGTTCATTTTCGACGTGGAAAGACAGCTTTGCCTTCTGGGCGCACTAATCACTCTACCTTAGGGTGTATGGCTGCCTCCCTCTTAGTGGTGTTTGTCTGGAGGTGGAAGTTTGTAAACGCTAACCTTGTAAATGACCGAGGTCATCCCGAGGGAGGTAATACTGTGTCCGCTCTGCTGCGGCCGATCCTGGACCTCGTGTTGTACCGACTGCCGACCGTCACGGTGCCGTAGTCACTACGCAGAGGCGACCTTTGTTTCATTTTGCAGAGGTTCAGAAGTTGTAAGTTGTCCAAGGTGGCAAACTTGGATCATTCGTCTGTTCTACATCCTTTTCCCTTAAAAAAGAAATCATTTTAGCCTTATTAATATAAAGTGAATGTTCATTCACAGACACTTTGAAAAGTGGGGTTAAGTGTTTTGAAGAAGAAAGTAATAGACCATAATCAACCACATACTGACGAACAAATCTTCTGTTCTTTGTAACTTTGCAAATATGCATGCATGAGTTTGATTTTTAATTAGTAGGATCATAGTTACATTTATGTGTTTTGTGCAACCATTGTTCTCCCAACTTTTTATTTAAAAAATTTTTAAACCAAGGGGACCAGCAATTGGCACAATAGCTATGTCGCTGAACTCCCCATGTAGTCGACCGCGGTTGGAGTCCCAGACCCGGTGGCTTAAACTCCCACACTGGGGCACGTGTGCGTGCATGCCCAAGATCCCGAAAGAATAGAGGACAAGAGATTGCAGCATGGCCATCCCCCACTCCCACCCCCCAGTATGCATGCCCCAAATTCTCCCCCCCCCCCCCCCCCCCCAGGGGGGGGGGGGAGATGATGTCGCGCTTTCTGTCTCTCTGTCTCTCTCTGTCTTTCTGGCGAGTGCACACACCCTATAGCAAAAACTCCCCCCAAAAATTCTCTTAATTGTGCAGGGGGCTGGCAGGTGGTGTAGTTAAGGGCATTGGATTCCCACATGGGTGAGCATGGTTCGAGCCCTGGACTTGGTGGCTTACTTTCTCACTTTCTTTCTCTCTCTCTCTCCCCAACCCGTCAAATTAAAATAAATAATTATATGTGTGTGTGTATATATATACACACACACACACACATATATATATATATATATATATATAAATA